GGAGTGTGGTCTTTCAGCTCATGTTCCTGCTCACCTGTCCTCTACCTGGCTCAGCAGGGGATGTGGTGTCGGGCCCCCAGAGGCTGACCACACCCCCTCTCCCATTCTCCTGCACCCAGTTTCCAGGACCTGGAGCTGGGGCCATCCCTCGAGCATTGCTGAGCTGGAGCTGCGGACCCCACCCCAGGGGATGGGCCAAGCAGTGTCTGTGCTCCCCTCAGCCCCTGCCTCCTTCCCCCCTCCACGCCAGCGCAGGGGCTGCAGCCACCTCCCGCAGCCCAGCCAGACCGCCCTGTTCGGGTCCTGGGCCCCAGTCCAGGAGCTGTGCGAGGATGGCGCGGCCCAGGGTGTGGTGGCAGGTAGGGGGTCCAGGAGGGGGCAAGGCCAAGCCTAGGTGGCTCTGGAGCCCCTGCCTGGTGGAGGAAACAGATTTTCCCATCTCGGGAGGAGACAGACATGGAGTCAGCGAGGACCGTGGATGGGGACCTGCTGGCAAGGGGTGGACAGGAGCCCAGAGCGGCAGCAGCCTGAGGGGCATGTGTCAACTCCGAGTCCCCCTCACCCTTCCTTCCAGGCACTGCTCCCTGCGGCGCTCCGGGCTGTGGGCCGGGATGCAGTGGAGGGGACCCGTGGCTGGCGGGGGAGGGAGAACCTGTGAGGCTGAAAGCGGCCACCCCGTGGAGAAGGCTCAAACTTTGTGGGGCCTTGGAGGCCACACTAAGGAGCCATCTGTGTCCCCTTCCTCAATTATGAGGCTCGACAAGGGCACAGACTGTGTCTGTCTTATTGATGCTGAAACTCCAGAGCCCAGGACAGATGAAGGAATGAATGAATGAATGAATGAATGAAGAACATTGTCTGCCGGTGGGGACACCAGATGTGGGCCTCTGGGCATCACCCACCCTGACGCCAAGATGTCAGGTGCCAGACTCCGTGCGTCTGTGCAGCCCGGCAGCTGAGCCCCCTGTGCCACCCCCATGTGTCCGGCTGCCATGGCCGTGGCCCCTCGGTCCCCCTGCGTGGTGCCCAGTCTCCCACCACTGAGCTCCCTGCAGTGGCCTAAGCGCCTCCACATTCCGCCCTCGACCCTGGCAGGCTCCAAGACCAGGGGAGTCGGTGCTGCATCCCCAGGGCAGGCGGGGTCGACACTTCCTACCTTGTGCCTCCTTAGGACACTGAGCCCTGTTGAAGGGACCGTCTTGCAGGTGGCATCAGTCTTCTGCTCTGTGCCCTCAGCAGGCCGGGGCCATGAGAGCTTCGGTGATGAGAGTTTGGAAGAGCCATGAGGCAGGAAGCCGGTTGGGGATGGCCCTGAGAGTGGAGCAGGCTAGGGGTGCTGACAATGTGGCTTCATTTTTGGTCGCCCTGTCCCCTTGCCTCCGACCAGCAGCAGCCCAGAGCGCTTTCCTCTCCAGGCCCAGTCAGTCAGCAGAGTGTCACTGTCACAGGCCTGAGCTTTGGAGTAGATGCCTGGATTCAAATCCCAGCTCTCCGCAACCCAAGGCTGCTTCCTGCCACCAGCTGTGTGACCTCCAGCCAGTCACCTAACCACTCTGAACTTCAGCTAAGGGCAGCAGCTAGCTGGTGGATGAAATGGGATGACGTGCAAGAGTGCTTGGTGTGCAAACAGCAGCTGCTCTGGTGCTGGAGCAGAGGAAACAGAGGCCAGGATCGGGCGGGGACTTGATCGAGGCCACACTGCAGATATCACAAGGTCTGGCCTGTCTCCTGCTTGGCCCTGGACAGGCCCCCTGAAGACCCCTCTCTGGGAGCAGGCTTCCTCTCGCTCGAAGGTGGGTGATCCACCTGCACAGCTTGACCTGGGGGCCTTGGCTGCCGCTCGAGGGGGCTGCCCGCCCCCACCGCCAAAGCCACCTTCTGCCAGCCCTCCTCCCCTCACCTGGTGACCAGGCTTTGGGCGTTCAGTGGGATCACTCCTTCCTGTGGGCGACTGTTGTAGCTGCTACCAAGGCTTCCTGCCCCGCCCCCCAGATATTTTAGAAAGCTCCCTGGGATTCGCAGGGACGATGACTAACCTTTATTAAGCCCCCACAGCCTGTGGTGCTGAGAATATTCGTGGGCCTTCACCTTTTCGGCAAGAACACAGAGGGGCGTCCCTCTGGAGGAAGCTTGGGGACACAGGTGGGTGCGCGCTGACGGCATCGGTGTGGGGGTGTGGAGCCAGAGGGCTGGTGGCACAGCAGGTGGGGACGGATGCTGGGTGCCGCACAACGAGGCCCCACTTGTGATGCATGTGGACGCGTGTGTGGCGGCTGCTCGTCAGGCCCCCGTGGCAGCTGATGTTGACGGGTGCCATCTGGCTTGGATCACGTGGTGGCAGGCAGACCCACCCGCTCTTGGGCTCCGCAGCTGTCCCGCTGGGACACAGGGCTCCCTGTGCGGGCGGGGGCGATGTTTAAAGGCATCTGTCCGCAGGAACCGGGGGCCTGGGGGCGGTGGGGAGCCCCGCGTGGGAGGGTGAGGACGGCGGGCATGGCACGCGCAGGCAGACGGAGAGCGTAAAGCTCGGAATCGGTTCCCCAGTTTCCTCTCTGGCCGTCTGGAGGCCCACCCATTCCCGCGGGCCTGCTCCCCGAACAGCCAAGTATGCAAGGACAGAGGAGGGGTCGGGCCCAGGGCCTCCGTCGAAGGGTCAGAGGGTCCCGACGGGGTCTGCTCGTCACCTTGCTGCCTTGCTTCCAAGATGCCGCCACAGGCAGGGCTCTGCCACGTCCCTTGAGCCATGAGCAGCACCCTTTGTGATGACCAGGTCAACCTCACCAGAGGCCGGGAGACCTCCCCGAAGCCACACGCTGGGCGGGCGCTCGCTCTCACTCTCCGCTCCGAACGCAGGGCCTTGCCCGTCCCGC